CAGTGGGTCGGGGGGGGGCGCAAGGGGCTCAGGGTGACCAGGGTGGGAGGGGGCAGCACAAGGTGTGTGAGGGGCTCAGAGACGTCAAAAAATAATAATAAAGTAAAAATATGTAATAAAGTAAAATAACTCTTCCTGAGCAAAAGCGAGAGGACCTCGCGGAGGGGGGGTGTCCCGGCCTCTGCAGGGGGGGCAGCCCGGGGTCTCCCAGTTTGTGGGTTTTTTTTCCCCCCCTAATAAAGAAGAAATTCTAGAGTAAATTTTCAATAGGCTGGTAAAAACGAATCACAGCCATTAGAGCAGTGCTAATTAGTAACATTTGCAGTTAATGATGGTCGAGGGGAAAGGCGAGGGTGGGGCAGGGGGGTGGGATGTAAATCATATCCTTGCTGCTTGAGTTTGGATTTTGGGTGGAGGGAGGAGATYTGGAAGGTGTCACGTCCCCAGTGCTCCATCCTCCCCCATCTGCACCTAGGAACTCCTGCATCCCGGTGCCCTCCAGCTTCCGGCACTTGGAGCCTCTCTGGGTGGAAACGGGAGAGTCTTTATCATTCCAAGCATCTGAAATGTTTAAATATGTAAACGTTTTGGCTAGGAAAAATCCCATTTAATTAAAAATATCAATGCTGATTTTTAAGATACTCCATCTCTATCAGCAGCCAGCACTAATGCTTCCAACATTTGATAACATTTAATGGATCGTTCATCATAACACATATACATTTTTTTTCACAGGGTTTTGGAAAGATAAAACATCAGAAGCTCCCGATCTTTTACAGTGTGGTTTTGATACCTTTGCTTTGCCTCTGGTGCCTGTAAAATATTTCAAGTGCCTTTTCCATAGCATTTCTGCAGCCCTGCGAAGGCCTCTGAATGCATTTACACAAAGCAATATGTATAGGAAAAGGAGAGCCAAGATTCCTCCCTGAGAGTCCAGGAGTGTTAAATACCTCAAACCTTTAAATATAAAAGGTGATCCGAAATCTGGAAAGTCTGCAGCCATTCGGCCAAAATGCCAAAGGACTTGGGACCGGATTGTTTCCTTAACACTGAGCGTGAGTCGGTGAATTCTCCTTGGGGCATCACATCCAGAGAGAGCAGCCTCTGCCTGTGGAGCAGACAAGGCAGGAATTACGACCAAGGGTTTCCCTGAGCTCGGGGCAGCCAACCTGTGTGGATTCTCTAGTGTCTAGTAAGGCTGGGCCTAGCCTCGCTTCCCAGGCCCAGGAAATCAGAAGAGTCTCTCCCTGTTTCCACAAGGCTCAGAGGGAGTCTCTACACTGCCCTGAGATAACGTGTCATCACCTGACTCCTTCCCGAGGCCATTCTGAGAGCCTCCCACACTCCGGCTCCTGCCGCTCCCTCCGTCTGCACCTTCGGGCATTCCAGCGATGAGGCGGCTCCAATACCCCAACCCGCTGGGAGAGCATCCAGCTCGCTCAGCCTCCACATGTGCCACGAGCCAAGCACGAGCTCAGCCCCCATCCCAGGGGTCTGCAAGAGCCAGCCCATGCGGTGCCCCGAATCCTGCCCAGACAACCCAAAACTCGCAGGAAGGAACGAGAAAAGGATTACATTTTGCTTCTTCAAAGTGCCCGGYGCTGGCAAAAACACAATTTGCTCTGCACGCAACTGAAACAAGGTGCTGCCTTTGCCCTGTGTGCCAGCAACCCCTTCCCCGTCCTTGACTGGGTCCTTACTGACGTCCCAGCAAACGGGAAGATATTAGTCTCGGCAGGATTTGCCTCCTGCTTCTCTTCCTCCTGCAAAAAACTGGCATAATAACACACCACCTTACAGGGCTTCTGAAAGCTTCAATTAAACAAACTGCTTGGAGATCTGTGTAAGAGGAAGATTAAATCAACATCCTATTGTAAAGCTGGAGTTACTGCATGCATATTTCTGTAAGGATATTCATGTCTCTGTATGAACGGGTGTAAATACGTACCAACCTTCGTTACGAGGCTTGTCTCAGTGGGGAAGAAATCACTTGAAGTTAAGGAAAAGCCAGATTTAGTTTTCCATATAACCTTGAGCGACCTCTTTGCATCCAGCCTAGGCACTGGATGTCAGGAAAAAAAAAATCCACATGTATGAGTGTAATTAAAGGCTGCCCCGTGATGTATCTGCATAGTGCCTTGTGCCAGCTCCATCGCATGTATCAGGGAAGGGAAATGGGTCATTTTTCCCCTCAGAAAGAGGTATGCCCGGGTGGGGGGCCATAGGATTCTGGTGGTAACACCCCAAATGCAATGAAAATGCAAGACCCCCACGAGTCCTTGTGACTACAAAATCTCAAAACCCTGACGGTGGCGCTCAGCCTGGCTCTCACCTTGCAATCAAGCTGCTGCTCCCGGGCTCTGCGTCAGGGCTGGCAGTGAAGGCTCTTTGGGACTATTCCACACAAGGCAGGCTAATCCAGCAGGGTCTCAGTCTCTCCAGGATGTTCTTATTCCCAGAGCCAGCCATGCATGGACAGGCTGGAAGTTCCGGGCAGGCACTGGCACGTCAGCGTTTGCYACCAGTGCTTTCCAACCACAGCCCGCTCCTGCAAAGCCAACTTGTCACATGCAAGCGAGGGGCAAAGGGGGCATTTCCGAGTGAAGGCCCCCACTGGAAGGACACTTTATGCCAAGGCAACAAAGCTCTCAGGCAGGGGGCAAGCAGGAGACGCACATGGCTCCGTTGCTCTTGCTTTGCCCTGCCTGCATGTCAGCGTAGCTGCCAGGTCTGGCTTGCTCTCTCCATAACAAATGTAGCTCTAAWCCCACTTAGATCATATTAACCCTCACTGCTGCCTATATGCGTAATTTTCTGCACTGTGTCCCACTTCTGCAATACAAATTCCCATTGAGCAAGGCATTTAAGCACAGGAACTTAGTGCCTTCAGCAAGAGTTAAGCAGCTACTCCAGAGCTTTGCTGATTAAGCACAGAGTTGACAATTCCTTTTCCTCCAGAGCACCTCACTTTGAAGATGACTTCTGTAAAAACTTCCTCCCACCTCCTCACTTTTCTAATCATTTCTATCATGCCCTGAAGACATAAGGCAATGCTGCTAAAGCCAGAGGGCCAAGCACACACCTCTGTCTGGGGAGATGAAGAGCTACAAAAGCAAAAGTGATCCTGGGCATTCAAGATCCTGATCATGCGTCTTCTGTGCTGGACTAACCTCCTCCCAGAGTTTGCTTCCAATTAGGAAGASCAAGGATGACACCTCCTCCCATCCTTGCTCAAGACAGTTTCTTCCCACCTGTCTTTAAAAGAGATGAATCCTTGGACGAGGTGATTCCTGCTGTCTCACCCTTCTCAGCAGCCTCATTCCTTCTAGGCATATTCTGTGCATCTTCTGTTTGTGCTCTAGGTAAATAATTACATTCCTGGAGGGATTCAAGCACCTAGCTCACCCCAATGCTAACGCAAAAAGAAACTCTTTTAGCTTTGGTTAAGAAGGAGAAGCAAGGCAGGGAGCAGCAGGCATGTTTATATACTGGGTCTTTTGTCTCGCTCCTAATTAAAAGAAAATGAAAGAAAAGAAGGGGGGGAAGGGAAAACAGAAAAAAAAAAAAGGAAAACATGGAAAAAGGAGGAAAAAAGGGGGGAAAGGAGAAAAGGAGAAAAGGAAAAAGAAAAAAGGGAAAAAATAGAAAAAAAAGGAAAAAAGAAAGAAAAGAAAAACAACACCCAAAATCTTGATTATTCTGGAGCTCTACAGCTACCTAGGGACATAGTGACATACCCAGAGAAGATGGATCTGAAGTATTTGGGAGAGAAGACTAATGTTTTAACGATGTGACTAATGTTCTACTAATAAAAGTCACTAAGGATGATTGTTGCTTCTCACATTCTTGTGCTATCAGAAAGAAATATCCAATTTTTACCCTAATTTCCCATTTACTATTTATTTGGAAGAGAGGGTATAAAGAAAACTCACAACCTTTTGTTTCCTCTGGATTTCAGAGCTCACCTCAGAAATGAGGATGCTGCAAGAGGAACAAGGTACCCAGGGATGCAAAGGTTCTTTGTCAGTCTCTGGAACCCCAAGCATCACAACGGGATTGGAAGCCATTCTAAAGGCTGGTTCCTGGCTCAGCCCAAGTCACAGGCTTGATGCCACAATCCCTACATGAAAGGGTTATGCAAAGGGTCAGAATAGGTGATGATAAAAGTTCCCTTCCAGCCAAAACAATCTACAAACCTCCAAGGAAATCCACCATCCTCTGGCAAGAGGCAGGACGAGGCTTTCTGAAGTGTAACAATGTCTGGCTCGGGAATCATGGGGCAGTGCCTCGGCAGAGCTATGAAATCATCTCTTCTGCTTGGGAGGTTCGACAAGCTGTGCTGGCAGCTACAGACCACAAGGCTGGAGCACAGGGAACAAAACCAGAGCAGATATATTCAGAGCGACGTTAGAGCTAATGTGACACCACTAAAAAGGAAATCCAGAGCTCAACGTGGCCTTTTCAAGGCAGCAAAAGCCGATTTGGCGATCTCTCGTGCTAGAAAGCCATTGTGCRACCCAGCCTGCTCAGCAGGCCCAAGGTGGGAAGAGCAGAAGCTGCTGCAAGTCAGGACTGAGGCACCTGAGCAGAGCTGTGTGGGAGGCCAAGCCTGGAGCAGCAGAAACGCAGCAGCTTCAGAGGGAACAAGAGCTGACAGAGATTAATGAAGGAAGCTCAGAGAGTGTCTATCTGTAGGATGCCTGGCTCAGACCAAGGCCATTAACTTGTTGCTCTCTGAACACCACCAACATGACTGGAAACCAAAGCATGTCTGCCCAGCATGGTTCATTTTGAGTGATTGCTTAAATACTTCAGCAGCAGCAGAATGGAGAGCATTAAGAAAGGCAGTGAGCCACATCAATGGCTGCCGGCTCACAGGGCTGCAAGTTTTTGCATGAAGCCCAAGTTAAAACCAGGCAGACAGCTGGGATGGAGCCTTCAAAGTAGTAACAAATAAATTACTAGTCTTTTTCTTTTTTTTTTTTTTTTTTTTCCTCTCATTCAGGAGTTTAAACTGAAAAGGGGAGTCCATCAACTTTAAATAAATCATGTTTGTAATTAAAAATATATTTTCCTGTGTTGCTTACAAAACTTTGGATGATTAATAAGGCACTTTTCAAATCACTGTAATTCACACTAATTATGGTGCTTGTTTACCCCAGCCAATAATTTTTCATCCAGGAAGATGGAGATATCCCAGAAGGAGAGCTCCCTCCACAGAGAAAGCAGGAAAGGACCCCAAGGAACTGCCTCAGGTACCAGGAACACATGGGAGGTCTTGCACTGAAAGCAACAGAGCTGGTTACATGAATCATGTCACATTACATGCTCCCAGGACTCCTTTGCTAAGCCTGACTTTTTTTTTTTTTGCCTGGGTAAGACGAGGAGACATGAGCTTGCCCAGCTCCTCAGGCTGTGGTTTGCCTAGACTTTGCTCGAGTTACCAACCTCACCAGGGGGTGACTTTGTAGGTCTAGCACGAAAACATAACAACAGCTGCAGAGTCTCGGGTATGAGACCACCAAAAGCCAAATCGTAGAGACTGAAAGGGAATTCAGACCTTCCTCGACTTTTCCTCCTGCTTCCCCCATCTTCAAGGCCAAGTCCTGCAGGTGAGCAGCTTGGTATGATTTTTGAGTTGCCATTACAGTAAAGGAAAGAAAATGTAGATGCAGAAAAAGCCATGAAGTAGCTGTGAAGAAACACTGTACTACATTCCTGCCTCCCAAAACAACTGCTTCAAACCCTATCCTCCTCCTTTGCCATCTGCAGACAACTCAAGTTTCTTAACCCTTCAGAAAAACACTAGGATCACAATAAATAAATATATCTTGTTTTTATTTATTGTGCTCTAGGAAGAACAGAATAAATGGCTCTTCCAAACTGTTGGATTATACGGCCCCTTCCAGTGCTCTATAGACCAAGATAATCCACTCTRCTCACTGAAGACTCTTGCTGACTGTGCCAATGCAGCACTGACGTTTCCTCATCTCTTGATCCTTTCGCCCCCCTTTCAAGATGGCCATTCTTTCATCACCTATGTGTCCTTCGAGTCGACAGTTATTCTTAGGCAATTGTAAGACAAAAACACAATTGCCCAGCTAACAAATGATACATGGTCTGTGCAGCAGCAACTGCTCCCAAGCCAGCTACATTACACACCATAGGTCTTGCTGCCTCGAGAGCTAAAACAAGGTAAGAGGCATCAGGCAAGAGTCAGGATAACGGAAGAGAAGACAAACTGCAGTTACTTAATAGTGTAACAAGTTCTTCAGATCGGGCACATGACTTTCTCAAGACTGATTTGTATTCACCCAACCAGCCTTGGAAAGTCCTGCCACAAAATTTATTCTAACACCTGCTGCAGCACACTTTAAAAAAAAAAAAAAAAAAGCAAGCTGAGATAAAAGATACTTGCTGTCAAAGGTAGAAGAATACCTCCAGAAAGCCACACTGTTGGCTTTCTCTAAAAAATTAAACGTAAGTGGTAGACTTTCTTCAGATTTCTTAAAGACAGATGGATCTTCCTTTATGTGTAAAGCATCCCAACTGTCTGCCAGCTTCTTAGATGAACATCCCTGTGGACAGTAATAGCAAGGCAGCAGCATCTGCCTTCTCTGCAGGTCACCTGCACACCATGAAGCTCCCATGATGGTGCTAGCACAGAGAAGCTCCCATTCTCTCAGTTCATGTCCTCGCTTGGTGTATTTTAACATCTGGATGTGCACAAGCCCAAATGACTAGAAGAGAGCTGGATAAAACACGCTGGCTAAGGAATACATATCAGGCCTGGTGACCAGTTGCAGAAAAGAGTAGATACACATTTTGCACACTTTTGGCTCCCAAGACAAGAGCTCACAACACACAGGTGAGGCAGAAGGCATCCTTCTATTTCAAGAGGAAACCCAGAAAAAGAGCGACTTGTTACTCAGCTTGCTCAGCTGCTGTAAGACAGTAGACAATCATTTCTTTATTAAAATTATGAATTATTTTTTTTAAAAAACAAGACCGCTAGCGAGACACTAAGCACTGCTCAGTCTCAGAGMATTCCTCCTCAGCACAGCGCACTTGACGTGACAGAAGGCATTGCCAAAGGCACTGAGGTCCTGTGTGCGCTGGCCTTCCTCTCACCACATCCCACCAGGAGGAGAAACTGCCCATAGGTGTGGAAAAGCTGCCACCTAAAACATGCTGCTTTTCCTCACGGCCGGGGGACAACAGCTTTGCGGTATTTGCACTGGATCCACACTCGATACATCGTCATTTGCTTCCCACGGTTCACCTGCAACCGCCGATCCACCAAATTCTGGATCTTCTCCAGCCCAGCTGTTGTGAAGAGATCATCTAATTCATCTAGAAGCAGACAGCAGGAAATTAAAGATGCTATACCTTCATTTAACTGATACCTACTCATATTGGGGGCTAAATTGAATTAAAAGACTGGTGAGAAGAAACTCTCAGGCTCTGTTTGACAGGTAAATGCAAAAATCACACAGGACTTCACTATTATATTATGGATTGATTAAGATTGTTATCTGGTTTGCCTTGAGTTTACCTTCTGCTAATGAAAGAAAGAAGTATTCGGACGACAACTAGAGTTACAGAGACTGGACAAAGGGAAAACCACAGTTCCAGACAGGGCTACCGCCTCTAATAACCAATTAAGGGGGCATATTCTGGCAAGTAGGAACAGCTCCCTCCCTGCCCCCTGTTTCTAGAGGGATTTCAGAACCTGTAAGAGCAATGAACAGGATCAGACCTATTCTTTTAAAATGGTGTCACTAAGATTTGTGCTATAGGGGCTAGAGAGGAACTGGATTCATTAAAGTTTGGTTGGAAAAAAATCCTTAAAAAAACACACCAAACTGGGGCCCAATGAAAGCACTAAGAGCCCTCCAGGCTGCAACACTTTTACTGCCAGGTATTCCTGACCAAGCAAATAAGTACCATAGTGCCCCAGCATACCAGCCATGGGCAAAGCCAGATTGAGTCCTGCTGAGCAGCCTGAGAGCTAGTTCAACTGCAGCCGGCGAACACGTGATTCGTATGGGGTTTCTGTAGAAAAAGGCTAACAGGTCCCAGCTTGTGCTCTTTTATCAGATGCCTGCCATAGTGAAGCATTTGCCAGACATGCATTAAACATTAATATTGTTGTGACAAACAAGCCTCACACAGTGAGGAAGGGAATTAGTTCATGGCAGTCCAGCCATGAACTCTAAAAAGTCTAAACTCTGAAACTGACCATGAAAACGGGCCTCAGTGGAGCTGACTGGACACACAAGTTGGTGGGAGGTGGACAGAAACACAATCCATGTTGAACAAGGAGCATCAAAAAAACTGGGAAGGCTGCCTCAAACCTGTGCCAAACCGCACTCTTCCTCTTCCCTCCTATGAGCCCAGTAAAGTTAAAAGAGGTTCCTTCAAGTGGTGCCCATCTCCCTCCATCCTCCTGAGGCGATAGRATGCAATCCCACCCCTCCCAGTGTACCAAACACACTGATCTTACTTTAAGATGTTTCTCCACTAAATGAGAAATGCACCATGCCATATTCTTATCAGTAAGTGACAGGCCCAGGTCCCTGGGCAATCTTCAGAGGCTAAACTTTTCATACTGCTCTAGGAAATACAGGCCAGTGGTAAACATTCAGAGCACAGCGGGGGAAAAAATGTAAAAAAAGAGTGAGATGGATGTTTTCTAGGCTCCTACCTTGTGTGAAGAAGTAAACTCTGGTGCCATCACCTCTCACATAGAAGTTATCAGACAGACATTGACCTTAGGGCAAGAAGGATTTAAACAGTTACCAGCTATCATTTAAAAATCAACAACTGCTATCCAACTGCACATAAAGACAAGAGGCACTTCTCCCAGCGCATGCTGTGCTTAAGGGGATTTAAGGAGCTGCTTCCTAAGGAGGGCAGAGACTCTTCCAGAGAAGCATCATCTATTACTGATCTGGCAAGACTTCCCAGGGGAAGAGAAAATACCTTTCTTAAACCGAAGCTGGGCCAGGTCGTAACGGCCATAATCTCGTAATAAAATCATTCCTCCTGGCTTCAGAAAGCGACTCAGTCTTTTAACAACACCCTGCATCCTGGGGAAAGACCAAACAGCAGCACTCAGCGCCCTGCAAAATCATGCTCATTTCCACTGTGTATTAAATTAATTCAGCTCCACAAAAAGATACACAAAATTTTATATGTGTTTGAATCTCTCATGAAAAGCTACTGAAAGCCAGCATTTTTCTGAGGTCCCTCAGACTTAGGTAGATGGCTTGGCCTGCTTGACACTCTCCCTGACACTCCTGTTCTGCTCTTTTCCTACAAGCACAACTTGGCCTTTTGCAGCAGGGTTTAATTGCTTTCACTTATTACAAAAATACCTCCACTGTTTTTTTTTCTTATTTTATAAAAAAACAAAGAGAACATACAAATGTTGCAGAATAAAAACAAGAGAACAGACTACGCCTTTTGTTTGCAAATTTTTAGGTCCCAGGCATAGGTTAACAAATTTTTCATAAATTAATAAGAAGCCTTATCCAAACTGAATGAAATGGAAGAATGTGCACAGCATGGCAAGTACTTCCTAGCGTTCACTAGGAAAACTAACCAAATTTTACATTGGCTACATTGTTTTAAAATTTCCCTATTAAGAAGCTCCAGTTCCATATGCACCGTTTTCTGCTATCACAGGGAATTATTAGAACTTACTTCTCTGGGAGAATCGCTGAGAGGACAAAAATAAGAATAACAATGTCGAGACTCTCTTCTGGCATTGGGAAAGGACTTTGGTCATCACATAGGTCATGGACAAATGCCAAGCAGCGTGAAGAATCGTATTCTGCATTGGTCTGTAATTAATAGGAGAGATTTGAGAGGAGACATTAGCAGATCATGATCTCAGTGTTATCTGGGCATAGGAGCATTTTAACTTTCTGTAATAAAACAGGATGTCCAAAGACCTGTTTCGGCCTCCCTGGACTAACTGAAATGTATAGTGCTATTCTAAAGGAGGGCAGTGTCCTCAGGGAATAGGGTGCACTGGGAGAGATCAATACACACTGGAGATTTACACAGAGCTTTGAACTTTTTATATTCAGTCAAACAGTAGTGCCAAAAAAGTTCAACTAGATTGAGGGATTATTGCAATTTTATGGTCAGATTTCCCACTAACAGAAGTTATACACAAGGGATTTACACTGTTAAACTGCAAATTTTTACAGGAGTGAGTGTGTCAGGGCGCCTCTCTATATCCCAGAAAGTAACGTTCATTTAATTTAAAGTTTTTTTTTTTTCCTCTAAAGGTGCTCTATGGATTGTAGCCAGCATCACTAAGCAGTGCTTGTGATAGTTTAGAAGGTGAAATGTCATGCTGCACCTGCTGCTGTATGCCCCACCTCACCTCCTGGAATGACTGATGACATTTCATCCTCCATATTCTCATTTTGGGTCAGAACAGAACTCTGTTAGCAAGATTTGTCATTTGACTAAATCCCAACYAGCTCCTCTGCAGAGTGGTACCCTCCTCAGCTGCCCACGCAGAAGCAATTAGCCCATGTTCCTAGAACTGCAGTGGCAGCAGGGCACACACAAATCAAAACCAACTTCATTTGCTGTTAAAAAATAGCCTGAATGCTTTCAAGGTTCAGCAGTTACTCAATTAAAAGAGCACTGGATTTAGAGAAGTGCTGCCAGACACAGAGGAAAGGAAATCTGGTTGACATGTCTGCTGTCAATACAACATTTTGTGAACTCCCTCTTCCCTCATCTCTACAATCCTTGATGGCTTATTTTCCACATTTACCAGCACCATGGGTCAGCACCAGGGCTAGCTAACGCTAAACTGCAAACAGAGCTAGACTGGTGGCACCTATGGAATCTTTGTGTTAACGTACAATTGGCACCAAGTACTTACTACCTTCAGAAGTCACCGTTGAGTTTACCTGGACAAGATCCACCGCTACTGTAGAAAAATCACAGCAGTAAACAAAAAGCCCTGGGTCACTGAAATAAATAAAAGAAAATATCAACATTTGCATAAAGGTGCTCCAGAAAATCAGCAAAGTGTCCTGAGTGCACAGAACTGGGAGGCAGAAATCCTCTGTTTTAAACTTTCTCTGCCAATGATCTTTTGTGTAATATCTTGAAGATCATTTTGCTCTTTCATGCCTCTGTTTTTCTCATACACAACTGACTGCTCACAATTCTACCAGGAGAAACTGGTAGTCTACTGGAAGCCTGTATTAAAATGCTTTGAGAATGAGACATGTAAACTAGCATCAAGATTTGCTGGTTGCATTCTAAGACCAAAGATTTCCAAGCTCAAAACATCGTCATCTGAAGTCACATATCACAACCGTGTGTCTACCCTCTTCTCTATGAGAYTGTCTATTCTAAACACATGCAACACATTTCCAATTGTCTTTTTCAATTGTTTTTTTAAGAGGTTGGTATACCATGCAAAGAAAATCCTATGGAGAAATACTTACTTGTTGGTTTGCAAAATTGGGAAAACTGTATTTCCAGCACCACAGCCAACCTACACAAAGTTATAGATACATAGTTAAAAATGCTTCCTCAGCATGTTCCATGCAGCTGATTTCAAATCATCTCTCTACAGCCAAGCAACAAAAAACAACTCACCAGTAACAACTGAGTATAGCAATGAGCATCTGCAAATCTCACTGCAGGATCTGACTGTGATCAGCTCTGGGGAGCAGACGTACATATAATCATTTGTGGGAAACCACTAAGTTCCCCCACTTCTGGCAGGGGTCTAACCAACAAGCTAGATATTGTTACTCTTCTTGAAAACTGTTATTGCTGGAATCCCAAGCGTAACAATCAGAGTGAGTCACTGAAGCAGGGGCAAAGGCCATGGGTTAGTTGCATTCCCTTCCATACAAAGACAAAGCAATGGAGAGAGGTTTGCTTTATTATTCCCTGCTCTTTCAGAGTTTCCTTCACTAGAAGGCTCTTCCTCAAGTTGCAACTAGGTCTGCAGTGACTTTTCCTTATTATTCTACTTGTTCCCATTTGAAAAGAAGACGGCCTACACAATTGGGTTTGGGAATTTTGTTTCTGAACGTTTGAGGAATCAGTAAAATTGAAATGGATGGAGTAGAAAACACCAGTGATAAACTTCAGTGACAGAAAGCACTGAAAATATTCACGTGAGACACAAAAGCCACGATAACTCAAGGACATGAAAGCCTGAGGAAGTTTCAAGGACTCGGATCATAAATAAAGTATAAATCTAAACAACACTTTCCGCTCACTCTCCTTGAAAGGGCAGAGTTCCCAGAGAATGCAAAGCATTTGACAAAAACAGGGGTAACTACACTCAACAGACTTCAGAGATGTGGCAGAGCAAAAGGTCTTTACCAGCGCTGAGAAACCCAATGTTCAAAAATCCTACCAACTTTTCTGAGATAATCATGATATACCACAAATGGCAAACGAGTCAGGGTTATTTTCAAATTGTAAGGACCAAGGAAAAGTTTCCTTTCACAGACATTACCTCTAATATACGGTAAGCTGCAGAAGATCCTGGGTAATCTCCATCACTTGGATTCGGCTCACTGTGTTTCTGGTTAGCTGACTGCTGTGTGCAGAACTTGGGTGTGCTTTCCATGAGGTTTAACTGATTCTCTGCCCTGGTTTCCAATGAGCAATGTCCATTTTCACAGCTTCCCAGTCCTTTGTTGTTGGATTCCTCTTTGGCACATCTGTACTCAGAAACTTCATTTTGACTTGGATTTCCATTCGGGGCTAGCTCAGGAAATTCAGTGAACAGCCAATGTCTGTCCTTGAAGAAGCCATTTTCATGGATTCTATAAAACTCATCCCAGTACCTGTTAGCGTTCACCTCATACTCCTCTGTAAATACAAACAAAAATGTCACCAGTCAGATCAGAAGGTCCCAGAGTTTAATCAGTTCAGACAGTCAGCATAGACATCTATTCTACAATCTGTTTTAATAAGCAGGGTTATTGATTGAGAATCACCTTGATTTAAACTGGGCCACCGCACATGAACACTCAGGCTGCCTCCTCACAGTCACTTCATTAGGAGTAGAAAAGACAGATGAAGAAATTGTCTGTCTTCTGGTAGGATTTAAAAGAACTTGGCAACAGAAACAGCCTCTTTGATGATGACCGGCATGAGGAAATCCAAGTTTTTCCTCCATCTCTAACGCTAACTCATCCAATTCACCAGAGCAATTTGCTTGAAAGCTCGTGATGCTAAGTGTCAAACAGTTACAACTTCTTAGGAATTCTTTGACAGTTGCCTGGAGCTGAAGAGCTCCTGTCTGACAGACTAATCAGTATTTCAAATAGAGAAACAGAAAAGTTAGTCAACTACACATGCATGGCCTAAAGCTCAATTAGTGTGTGCACAATACTAGAAGATTAGAGGATAGCAGGTTTTATAGAAGTACCGCTACAATCCAGTCCACAGCATTTTGCTTTCCACAATTTTGTGCAGGTTAAAATAGCAGGTATTTATGAAATCACAAACAAAGAGAGGGATCAAAAACAGTGATCACTGTCCTCAGCCTTAAAGTACCAGTGTAGAGCTAAGGTGAATAAATTAATGCTGATAAGAATTAACTTCATAAGCAAGCATTATTGTTCTCACACAAACTGGATCTATTCCAGTAGAAGGCTGAAAGAACTCTTACAAAGTCATGACCTAAAGAAATTAGAATCACCTGCAGAACTCCTTCCATACAACTCCTTCCATACAACATCAATGGCATAGGCTTTCTGACCTGGGAAATGAAAGCTAATTATAGCATCTTATGCTTGTAATCAGCTAGAAGTATTTACATCAAGGGCCACAGATCACAGCTGCATTTCAATAACACGCAACTCCTTAGTCATCTTTGCAGCATCAAGTTCATTAAAGAATGCAAATGATTCCCCTAGAATTAAGAGGGAAGCCTGTATGTGAGAATGGACAGCCTCTCTCCAACCTCTACTCAGAATAAGGTTAAGAAAAAGAGTAGGTATCTTAAAACTATACCTAAACGACAGATTTAGTTAGTTTTTCTGAGAAGAACATGTCTTTAGAGGATATGAGAAGGAAGTCAGTACTTCGAAAAAATACATATCTTCAGCCAAATACTGAAAAATGAATTGCTTTAACAGAAAGTAGAAAGTCAGCCCTATTTATATTTTTAGTAGGATCTATCTCTGAAGCACCAAGATCTATATTATAAATAAATCTCTTTAACTCAATTACACGGATTTATTCCTTTTAAGAAGCCTTGGCCTTAAACACTAAGGCTAAAGAAATTTTAATGTCTGATATTGGACTACAGCAGAAACATTTATGCCATGATCTTATCATACCTCCAAATAAGCAGGGTCAATCAGTTTAATATCAGAGATACTGAGATACTCAAGGAGCACTAATACCAGAGGAAGAAGTGCTACTTATCCAGTCCCTGGTGCTGAATCCAGTCCTGAAAYGTCACTGCTTCCTTTCCTTGTAGGGATACACCAAGCTGCTGGGGCTGGAAATGCTCTTTCAGCTAACAAATATACAAAATCCTGATTCCTGCTGGTCCCATGACCATCTCTGATACAGGATAGTTACCATGAGCAATTTTCCAACACAGCCATTTTGAAATACTTAAGTTTTGCCACAGTATAACTCCGAACAAGACACTGCGCTCTTCCATTGTTAAACTACTGTGATATTCTGTTGGATGCTCCTGAACAGTTACTATGCTCCCAGAACCTTCATTTAAAGCTCATTTACCTCACGGGCTAGTGTTTTCAAAGCACTGAAATAAAGGATCAGTAACAATATACATGCAAGAAAGCAAGGGCCAGCTGATATAGATCATGCAAGAAACACATTTAAAGCTCACAATGACCAAAAGAATCTTTTAGTCTGATTTCTTGCATAACTTAATCCAGAAACATTCACATATTTGCTTTAAGATTCTTTTTTGTGGCATTAACTCATGGGGACAGTGCCGTGGTAGCTAGTTTTCTCCAGAGACTTTCTTGATAAGGAGCCCTGACCTCTCCACTTGTCTTTGCAAAGACGTTCCCAAAGTCAAACTCACCCTTTCACACTGCACAAGTGGTGCAAACAAAAATAACTGTCCATGACAGACACAAAGAGAATCAGAGAACCCCTGAATTACATGGAAGCAAATTACAGAGCCTCAAAAGAAAACAAAACACTCTTCCACTCCTTTCTCTGTTTCCAGTCAGTAGATACAACTTCTACATAGCACACAGAACTTCTCTTCTTCAGAATATAGTCTGACAGCCCAAGCAGCCCACACAATAATACAGCTACAATGACCAATAGTCTGACTTTGGTCTTCTCCTTGGACATTTTTGACTCTCGAAATACTAGACCTCCAGGCACATTTGGCTGGGCTGGTTTCCCTAAGTTTGAGCCACCCCATTGTCTCCACATGCTTCCCATTGAATGGAAGCCATCAAAATTTGACTGGCCTCCATTGTTCAGTCTGGAAAATACATCATGAAGACCTGACAAACTGTTCTAGCAGCAAATTTCTCCACAATTTCATAGTTGTATATAGGTTCTCAAAGCGTGACAGACAACATCCTTTAATGTTAACCAGATTTTAAAATGAACTCAGCACAATGGGTATCACAATGAAAACTGCTGGATACTTCTGGGAAACCAAGAAATTAGAAGGGTTGCTCTTTGGTATAATTAAASTTGCTATTGTGAACACAACTGGAAGCTATATGGGATGTGTCTGAATAACTGCAATCATGTTGAGCATCGCCTTACAGACGACACACACAATTTAATTTGAACAAAAGGAGCGGATCCATCCTCGAGCTCGGCAAGACATAACAAGCTCAAATCAAACAACTCCTTTATTGTTCCAAAGGATGGGAAGCCACTTCACCACCTTTGGAAGAGACTGGATGGTATCAAGCAGGTGTGGAAGAAAGAGGCAACATGAACCTACTCTAGAGCAACTTCTACCATATGTTTTTGACTATAGAGCAGTGCACCTTTAATTTGATTCAGATAAGCTTTGTATTATAGATGTATGGACATCCCTTAAACCAATTTGAGGAAAGTATTAGAACAGTTTCTAACAGTACCTTTTTTATCCTGTGGCAATAGCTGTGAGCTGTTCTCTTGAACTTTACTTCTGGCATTGGCTTCCTGCTCTTCTGACCACTCCACATTATCCCTGTTGTAAAAAATAAGGTGAACTACTCAGCTAGGAATGGCAGAGACAAGAAAAGAGGAAGGTTAATTCCATACAGTTCGTGGAATTGACACTGTGGAGCTTTTGCAAAACCTCTCTAATTTTAGCTTGGTACCAATATAACGGTATAGTCACTGTATAAGGAGGATGCACGGTTCTGAAAGAACCATGAGCTGGAGAGGATCCTAAGAGGCATCCCCATCCTTTCTCCTGTATGATACTCAGCTACTTTTAGAGGAATTATATCATTACTACAGAACTCGTGAGGACACTCAGCATCAGTGTGTCTTCTTGGTGCTAAACACCACTTCTGTCTCAGGGAAGAGCTCCTAAAAGGTGACCACCAGCCAGGAGCTCACGTGTTTCTGCTCAAGCAGGTCCTCAGAACGCATGGTTTGATTTACCTGCTCTAGAAAATTCCATTTTCTTCCTTGAGTTCAGAGAAAGGAACAACAGCAAAGGCTATTTAGGAGTCTTACACTAATATTAAATTCAATTAGGAGAAAAATACACAGGATGCTTTAAAGCATTAAGAATCTGTTAATGACTTAAATGCACACACAAAATTGTGTAGTCRTTAAAGTGAGTCATTCAACCTTTTTTTAAATTAAAACAAGGGAATGAAAACACAGAACACAAGGATCAAGCAGCATTCTTCTAGCCCCAGGATGAATGAGTCTTTTGATATTACCTCACAAAAACATAGACTTTAGCATTAACACCGTGAAAAATCAGATTACTAGGAAGGAGCCTTCTCAGCAGGGAAGTCCTGTTGAGGATGCGCTTTCACAACGTACCTTTGATACAGCACTGTCCCCACATGAACGACAAGCCAATGCACGCACTCACACACACACACACACACACACATCGCTTTATTACAAATGAAACACTGACGACCAGGGCCACCCTGCTCCAAGCAGGCATTGCCTCTCGCGGTGAGCGGTGCCACCACGGGGCAGGTGACGTGTCCTCCCTTCGGGCCGCGCCAGCTGCTGCCACGCGCCGAGAGGAGGAGAAGGAAGAAGATGAAGAGAAGGAGGAAGAAGAGGCGGCGGCGAATGGTGGAGGAAGAGGAGGTGAGCGGTAGGGACCCACTTAACGGCACGGCCGCAAGGGGCGGCCTAGGGCGGGCCGGGCCCGGCCCTGCTCCGGGGCCTCCGCGCAGCCTCCCGCCCCCTCCGGGGCTCTGCCCCGCTCTCTCCCCGCCGGGCCGCGGAGCCCCCCGCCCCGGGGGCAGCGCGCGCGGGGAGCGGCCACCCTCACCACGCGTTGTGCTGGAAGAGGCGGCCGGGCTCGGTGAGGAAGCGCGTCCCGAACGGCCGCCGCTTCCCGGTCGCCGCCTCGCTGGGCGCCGCCATGACGGGCCGGAAGCGGAAGTGCCGCCCAACCCGAGAGCCACCGGGGCGGGAGGGCGGCAGCTACGCCCGGTCCGGCGCGCGAGCCGGTTCTGCGCGGCGCCACCGAGCGGCCACGGGGGCGAGCGAGCCGCTTCCCGCGCTTTATTTCCCGCAGCGCGGCCCCTTCCGCCGCTTCCCCCCGTTTCATTTCCCCGCCCGGAGCCGCGCCCAGCGGTAGAGCTCGTTGTCCGCCCGGCGCAGCTCGTCGGGCGTCAGCAGCTCCTGGCACACGTTCCAGGACCAGGAGTAGGTGGAGAAGATGTGGTGGAAGCTCTCGTTGCCCGTCTCCAGGCCGATGCGGCCCCCGCGGAGCCGCCGCCACAGGCGCAGCAGCCGTGCGCGCTCGTGCAGGGCCAGGCCCTGCCGGTACTGCTGGCTCAGCCACTTGCTCTGCAAGAAGGAGGCRGGTTGGGGGGACAGGGCAGAGCTCGAGACCCGTCTGCATGTGCTAAAAATCAGTTTTTTTTAATGCATAAAACCATCTCTCTTGACTGATTAATAGTAGTAAACATTGAGTTTCTACCATGCCTTAGCTATCATTTCGCTCTCTGCTCATGACAAGATGACCTCTGTCTAGTTAAAAACAGTCATCAGTCAATTTAAAAGTTTCATGAATCACCAGTCACGCTCAAGTGATGGCCAGACTGACGTCCGCCTGTTAMAACAGCCCTGCTCCAAGTTACAGGAGCAAGGACTGCCAAGATACCCWGTATCTAAGTTGTGTTATCAAATACTAGTTTAAATACCAAAGTTATTTGTGGTCTTAGCTCTGCGTGCTTGCTAAGGCTCTAAAGATACTCCGAACTTCCTCAAGGATCCACAGCAGGTTTGTGGGACACATTTGTGGCATGTATTTGGGGTTAGGGAAAGGGGCCACCTGGAGAGCAGGGGGAATGTGTGTAGGTGACAGTAACACCAGCTCTGATGGCCCTTGCTTTGGGGCCCCAAAGCTTTGCTGTCCTCCCTGCACTCTCCCAAGCTCATCCCTGCCTTTGTACAGGGGGAAGGTCTATGCTAGGGATGAAAGACCCAATTGGAGCCTTTCTTTTTATTTCGAGGCAGGCGAGAAAGGAGGGATAACAAGCGAAAGAAAGCGGCCCCTTAAATACCCCATATCAGCACAGGGAGCTCCCAGAGGGCAGYGAGGACATGGGGCCACTTTCATACTCACCTCTGCCTGTGTCCTGCCCAGCGCGTCTGTTGTYGGGCGGCAAGGTTTGCTCAGGGGCGGCGCGGAGCTTTGCTGCCTTCTGCACCCAGCAGGAACCTTTGGGGCCATTGCCTGGTTCAACGAAAYGGGAGCTGTCGGGTTTGTCGCCAGGCTCCTGTTATTCCTGTTAGGTGCCTGAGGCACTGCTGCTCACCTCCTGCACCCAGTTTCTCTTTTGGAAGAAGTGGTTTTCGAAGGAAGCTATTGGTTTGCTCCTCCTCTGCCTCTCTAGCTTCTGCAGATCTTTCTTTGGCCTTCCCGCTATCATCACCTCTTGTTTAGGAATCAGAGGGAAGATGGGCACCTGGGCGTAAGGGCTGTCCGAGGGGGGCACGCAYGCTAGCAAGAAGAAGTAAAAACGAGAATCACCAACTGCACAGGCAGCTGCCTCAGCCCTTTGGGGCTGTCTCCTCTGGAGAGGCCTCAGTAAGTCCCAGATTTCTCACTTTCCTGCGACATGACTCATGGCACTTGCAATCCTGCTTGCTCAACATTAAAAAGCCTGGGGTGGGAGCTGCAAAGACAGCAATCACTCAGCCACTACGCTGAAGTGCTCAATTGATGGAAATCCTTGCAGCTGCCTGCGAGGTGTTGGGCTAACACTGAGCTTGCCTACCYCAGGACACCTTGTAGTGGCCTACATTAAGGTAGTCATCTAGCACAAGCAACCCAGGAGGGTGATTCCTTTCTTCTTAGGGGCTAGATGGCCTCCCAAAGTTGGTTCCAGCTCTAGCTTTTTTTTTGGAATTACACTCTGGGCTGCAGGAAGGGTTGACTAATGCCAAGGCAACCCAGCTATCCYCTACCCTGGGGGAATGGAGTGGGAGACAGCAGGCAAGTCTCACCTTTAAGGCTTTCCACGTAAGCTAGTAGATCTTTATTGTTCATGAAAGAGATGCGGGCAGTGTTTACAAAGGAAGATACACATGCCTGATCTTTTCTGCGGATAATTCTGTGGTGCTTCTTTCTGCAGTACATTAAATTGTTAGAATCCTTCCAGGCTTTTTGGCCCGTGCACCTCAAAAACTTCTGTCGGTAGTACCTAACAAGACAAAAGATGGGGTGGTTTGCTGGTGAAACGCATCTCAAAGCCCCATTTGGCACTGACTGCTGTTCTCCAGGATACTGCAGGAACTGTGTGTCTGGAAGGACCAGATATATGAAGATATTTAGCCTGCAAAGATGTGGGATAGACACATGGTGGCATTTAGAACCACATGTAGAGCAGGTGTCTGGTATATTTATGTGCTTTTTTATGTCTTGCTAGATCCTGAACAATTCTGGAAATATGGTCCTGAGGCCCTATTTACAGTGTCTTGAATTATATAATAAATTAGTATCTTTATTTGAGATATCCCTTCTCCATCTTACAGAACTGTGGCAGCTCACCTGACAATCTCAAGCAGAGTTTTCTGGGGCAGAGCAGCCAGCTCCACCAGTTTCGACAAGACTTCGAAGAGCACGATCCCTGTGGCACTGGCAGAGTCACCTTTGCCTCTATATTTCTTCTCTGGGACTGCAGAAGAGGTAGAGAATGGTCAGAGCCATGACTGAGCCTTTTCTGAACTTCACAGAGAGTGAAGACTCCAGCAACAGCCAGGAAGGTCTGGACAAGCTAGTGCCATAGGGAGACATGCCCATTTTTTGCTAATTAGGTATCTAGGAGGGAGGGCAATTCCTGAAATCAGAGTCCTGATTTCTTGCTCACTTCCAGCTGTTCTGACAACCTGGCAATTTGGACAATTCTGGATATRAGAGGTGCTGGCTGGAGGTGAAAATAACCCCTTGCCCTGGTAGAATGCCTCTTACTTACCTATCGCCTGCATGAAGCGCTTCTTGTCGGTAACAATGCTCAGGAAGTCGAAGAAATTCACCTTGCCGTCCCCTGCAGCAAAGGGCATCTCCATTAGCAAAACCCTTTGCTGCCCCAGGGCGGYATAATGAAAAGCCAGGGTGAGCAGTTCAAAGTTAACAAAGCGGGAGGGTTTGCTACTGAAATCCAAGGGTAGGAGAAAAAGCTGTTAAAGGTTAATGCGTAATTGGGCTGTGGATCTTAGTGCTTCAGGATGCGCAAATGGATCCCAGAATGTGATATATATATGTATTTATTTATTTATGAAGGATGGATTCACTGGTGAGTGCTAAAACATTACAGCCCCAGGTGTAGCCTCTGGGTTGGGGAGCATTTAAACACAGCATTTCTCTGGGCTGGGAAGGCTTGTGGAGTAAGGGTGACACTGCACACCCAGAACACCCTGTCGGGGAGCAACGTGTGATCCGGGTGCACTCACTGTCGGCGTCTGCAAACGCCAGCTCCCTGTTGGCCTCTTGAGTGGTTAAGCTGATGCCCAGCTCCTTAGCAGTCTCCTGCAGGCCCTGGCGGCCGATGTTGCCACCTGGGTCTTTAGGGAAGAAGCTGAAGGCATCGTAGAATGCTGCAGACAAGCAGGGAGAGGACAGCAGGTTATGTGGGGCAGGGAGGGAAGGCACTACCTGCAGTAAAACTTTCTGAAACAAGGAACTGCAACTGCTAAGGGCTGGGAGCTGAGGATGAGGTTGTTCCTTACTACCAGTTGCAAATCATCTACCTCCTAGTTCTGCCTTGAACCTCACTTCACTGTCAAAAAGGGTGTTGATGTTTCTCTCAAACATTGGTTCCTCTAATCTTTGGGCAGTGAATTGTCCCATGCTTTGTCCCCTTTGGCCCCTGCTGTGGTCGTCATCTCCAAAGGATCACAGGACTAAGCTCGAACTAAGGATTGAGCCAGTCATGGCTGTGCTGGCCAGGTGCCTGCCTGGCGGGAGGGGATAACAAGGTAGCTTTACCTTCCAGTTGTTTCTTTGTCAAGTTCTTTGCTGTTTTGGACTTGCTTCTCCTCTGAGTGATGCATGAATGTTCCCTGCYACACACAGGGGAATAAACAAATATGGACAGATTGACTGAGAGGCGCACGCTGACCGAGAGCAGCAGAGAGCAGCTCCCAAGCATACGAGGAAGAAGTTTCTGGGAAGCCAAAACACAGCCAGGAAGAACAACCCTGGATATTTCCTTTGGCCCAACAATGGTTGGGCCAAAGCTCTGTTACCTGCAAGGTAACATGTAGCCTGTATGGGGCTGCCCTATAGGAATCCAACTCAATCCTCCCTCTGTAGCTCATACATTCCTTTAAATTGATAATGCCAACATGATCAACGGTGCAGAGAGGAGCATGAAGGCAGGGTTCTTGGGCTCGATGACACAGCAGGCCAGGGCACCATAATTTCTGTGTGTCCTTTGGCCACCTTCATGCTTACCTGGTTGCCTTCCTTAAGATGGATTTTAGCACCTTCTTCCGTGGCAGAGGGTGCAGCACCCTCACTTTGGAAACGCGGGCTTTGGAAACGCGGCCAAGAGCAGGAGAAGCTTTTTCTGGGTGTGAAAAGACAATAAATAAATAAAGAATTGAAGAAAGAAAGCAGGGAGAGTTATGAACTTCCCTCCAGCCTTAGGTATCACAAGGAAGAGAGCTTGAAGGACCCTGAGATGACATGACACCTCTCCCTGCTTTTTTTCCTACAGTGACTCGCAGCGTCATCCTGTGCTGCCATCTTTCCCTTTTCCCTGTCCTCCAAGTCTCACCTGGCTCTCTTCCCAGGCAGTTTCTTAGGAGCAGGGTTTCTTCTTGCCTGGGCATCCTCTGAACTTCCATGGCCAGATAATAAGGAAAGGGCAGGCTTAGGCAGCAATGAGGGTGCATGAGCCTGTGCCCAGGGTGTTATTACAGATCCTCCAAGAACTTGGCTTCACATCCAAAGGTCCAAGTGTTTCACCGTTTCCCACTTCCCCTTTCAAGGCAAACCTGACTTACTCGGGGGCTAGAAGAGGTGTTTGCTGCTCAGAGCCTTCGCAGCCACTTTCAGAATCACTGTCCTGTCTTCTGCAAGGCCACAGGGACTGGGTGCCCTCCTGTGGAACCCAGGCACATGGAGGCAGTAGGAAAGAGCCCTCAGCCATACTGGGAACCTGCTGGTGCCCTCATGAAGATGCTGAGGTTTCCTCCTCATGTTCTGGACACACTTAACATTACATATTTCCAGGATAGTATTTGATTGAGCGAGGGAGACACCACAGGCTTTTGCTGACTTGGGGCACTCATAGTGCCTCAAGCAGCGAGACCTGGCACAAATGGTTTCTCTTGACACGGAGTTCTGGAAAGTCTAGCCCAAGAGCTGGCTCTGAATGGATTTGGTGCTTTCAGACAGAGAAGAACCAAAAAGGGGTAGGGAGGTTGTTGGGCAAAAGGAAAGGTGCCTCCAAGCTCCATTTCAAGTCAGAGCAGGCCCATGCAGAGCTATCATGCAGACTGCCCCACAAAACACCTGCAGAGATATTGTGGATGCTCCCTGCTGACGGTGGCATCTCCTCCTGTTTCTTGGCAGTCAGGGGATCCCCAGGCTGGCCAAGACAGTGCCAGGTTCACTTGCCCTTAGTGATAAATCACAATTTAAGGAGATCTCAGAGCTGCCTTCAAAAATGATCCCAGGTGATATGTGGGATAGTGCATGTGTGCAGATTAATGTCTCTGACACAGCTGTTCTTCACTGCCAAATGCGACTGCACTGGTGGCCAAGGGAGCCAGATGGAAGAAAAGCTGTCTCTTTATGGAGGGGAATATGTACATATAGACAGATGGGCTGAAAGTGCCCCRTCTCAGCTGGTAGAAAGGGGTTTTGCTCTGCAGAAAGCAGTGGGTTTCCCACTGCTCTCTGCTGACTGCACAAACAACTCCACTCTTTTTGCTCACCTGCTCCTTGGTCAGTGCACTGGACAGTTTTGACTTGCTGCATGAATTCGCTCAAATTCACCCTTCCGTCAGCTGCAAGGGAACAGCATGGGCTCAGGGCTCACCCTGCCAGAGCGACTGCACAGGACGGTGAGACCCACAGCACTTACCATCCACCGAAACATGCCGCAGCGCTTCTTGCATCTCCTCATTGCTAAGGTGGATCCCTGCACTCCTCAGGATGTTGTCCAGGCTCTGGATATCCACCCGGTTCTCTTGAAATAAAAGAAGGGATGTACAATTCAAGTCCAGTTGCCTAGGGTCTGAATTACTCACCTTGGGTCCCTCCATAATCAGTAATGAGACTGGCACACACAGAGGGTGGTTAATGCCCAGATTCCACTATATGAGGATGCCATTTCAGAGAGTTTCTCACTGATTTACTTGTATAAGGAAGCCCTTGAGGAACATGGACTTCTGTATTGTCCCCGATTCCTTGACAGTATTCGTGCCTTCAGCTATTGCTGCCCTGTCCCACCTAAACAGCACTGAAGAAACGCAGGGACCGGGTCTCCTGTGATGGACCAGGGATAAATAGACTTCTCCATGGACCATAGGCTGGACTAGGGCTGATCAGACACTTTGGGCAGGAAAGTCCCCTATGGTCATGGCACGCAGAGGGGCTCCTCAGTCCCAAGGGATGTTCTCACATACTCTCGGCCTTTGACGGTCTCCGYGTGCTCATCACACTCCTCATGTATGCGCTCAGGCTGACATTACCACCTTCTGCAAGGGAAAAACTCGCTCAGAGATGAAGGCCAGACAGGGTGGAGGCTGGGGAAACCACGGATGGAGCCGGTCTGCTCCTTTTTCACCCTCTGCTAGAGCCACAAAGCAACTGCCAGCAGGAGCTGGGGGTGGGGAACACCAGGACAGGTCACCATAGTATTGGGGGTATCTCCATCCTTGGACGTATCCATAGCTTGTCTGGGAACACCATGGGCAATCTGATCTAGATAGATGGCTGCAGGTGAGAGGCTGGGCTGGAGGTTTCCAGAGGCCCTTTTCCACTGATGCTTTGGATTCACTCACCATCCACCGGAACATGTTTCTGTGCCTCTTGCAGCTCCTCTGGGGTTAAATGGATCCCCATGCTGGCCAGGATGGAGCCCACATTATTGACATCAACTTTGTCCTCTATGAAAAGAAAAAAGCCCCTTTAAGCAATTTTTCTTTGAATTGGGGGTATTTTAAGTACCACCCTAACCATGTCAGCAAGGTGCTACCCTTTCAGTGTGCAGCCTGAACATAAAGGGAGGTTGGTTGTATAAAAATAAGAACAGTGTATTAACATCTTTAAAAATATCTTTAAATCTCTAGAGGATTTCTATCTTTTCAGCACATTAGTGAAATCAATCTCGGCAGCATGCAGGGTGGAGAAAAGCCCTGCCATCATTTCCACGAGGGAGAAACGGAGCAAGATGAGGTGGCTTGGAAACAGACCAGGTCTGTGTCACATAATAGTCGCAGCAAGAAGGGGAACAGAAGCCAGAGGATGCCAGGCAAGTTCTTGTGAGTCTCAGGCAGCCCATCCTACATCCATGACATTCCCACCCTCGGGTCTCCTGAGCTACGACACGGAGCGCACTGAAAACAGCATCGTGCTTTGCTTTTTCTTTCCAGCAGCCTCAGTTTTGATGTGTTTATTTCTGGTTTATTTCTGAACAACACGAGGGTTTCTTGGGGGAAACATGTTCCCTTGGAAACATGGAGTGGGAAGTTTGAGACCACAATCCCAAGTTGGATTCTCCTGGTGTGGTGGCCTTGGGAGCTCAGCTGCATGGCCCAAGGGCAGTGATAGGGGATTGCTGCACATTTGTGTTACCTGCCTGTTTTTGATGTGCTGAGTGGGAGCACGTGGCCATCGCGAGCCTGTGTGCGAGGAGCTTGCAGACCCCTTGCAGCTGCTGTTGCCTTTCTGTCTCCCTGCACAGCTTCATTACAAAGCAGATTTGCAACGTGAGTTTTCTTCTGGACTCTTGTCTAATCCTGTTTGCTGTCATCTAGCAGCAACTTGTATTATTGAGCTCTCTCTCACCTTCCTCCAGGGGTGGTTTCTGGCCAGCCCTCCCTGCCTTCCTGAGTTCACTCAAATTCACCTTTGTGTGAGCTGTAAGGGGAGAGGGAAGTTCAGCATCAGTGGAAATAGCAGGCACCGGGGGACAGAGAGGACTAGGTGTTGATGAACCTCATGGCTGCTCCTGCACAAGCAAGGGGCTTTCACAAGAGATATCTTCCTTCCAAATCAAGACAGAATAGAGTCCTAGACCAGGATCAGGCATTGAAAAAATGGAAATTTGAAAGCAATAGTGCTGGAACTTGCTTCCCTTTACCCTGTAGGAATCCAGACTGACTTCATGGGGCATGACTCCCACTATAGCACTGAGGAAGCTGGAGGTAGCAAAATAATGTACTGAGACAGCAAAGGAGGGATTTACAACTAGAGAGGAACCATCATTGAGCCCTCACCACCAGCAACTTCCTAGTATTTTTACCACATTACTGTATTATTTTAAGGATGGTGACCATTATTAATGGTCCCTGTTGAATCCCAGATATTTCTAGGCTTCCTACAAGGAAAAGGAGCTGAAATACCTACCTATACTTGCTACATGTCCTAAGGCTTCCTGCAGCTCTTCGTTGGTTAGGTGGACCCCCTTGGTGCCCAGGATGGAGTTCAGGTCCTGGATGCTGACCTTGTCACCTAGGATAGAGCCCAAGCAATACTTGAACAGAGCAGGATGTCTCACCAGCAGTTTATGGCTTCTCTGGTCTCAGTAGTGACAGGGAAAGGACAGTGAGAGAGATGCTCACCGTCCACAGAGACACAACTCAGCACCTCCTGCAGCTCCTCTGGGTTTAAGTGGATGCCCATGGTGGCCAGGACAGAGCCCACATCATCCACAGTGACACTGTCCTCTGTAACAAGGAAGTTTTGAAAACCTCCTCTCTGTGCTGGCAACCAGCAGAGAGAGTCTTGGCAAAAAAAGGGTATTATTCATAATAATAGAGACTCCTTTGCCTTTCACCTACCCTTTCCATCGCAGGATCTAAAGGTCTGTAGCCACAATAATGCAATGAAACTCCCTCCCCGCAAGGCAGGGTAGGGTGCTGAGGCCACAGAAGATTAAATTCCCTTTCCAAGGCCGTTCATCAGCCATCACACCTCCCTCCACACACCACGCCGCATGTAACGTGCTCTCAACACAACCCCCTTCCCCTTTGAGATACTGATGGAGGGCATTTCTATCATGCCAAGATGCTCCGAGTTCACACTAGGCCACCTGTGCCAAACAAAATTTTAATGCAAGATTAAAGGGAAGGGAGAACGGGAGAGAATTTAACCTCTGCTGAGTGCACAGCATATCCCATGTCAGCAGCGGGCCAGCTCCTTGCTGCAGACACGCAGCAGCCTCCCTGCGCTGCTGTCCATGCCTGGGAGCTGCAGGGAAGGGGCACCAGCAGAGAGCAAGGAGGGAAATACCAGTTCCTACCCTCAGCGTGTCCCAAGGCTTCCTGCAGGTCTTCACTGGTTAGGGGCCTTCCTCCGGAGCCCACGATGGAGTCCAGCTCCTGGAGGTCAACCTTGTCCCCTAGGTTAGGGGAAAAGGTGGAGCTTGGTTAAGTTTGTTCAAGGAAGGAGAGCCCAGGACGTGGACAGAGGCAGGAGGAAGGTTCTGGGATGCAGTTTTAAAGGCCTCACCTACAAAGGAAAGTTTCTACAATCAGAAGCCCTCCATATCCATGGAGGATTCGGGGATTTCAGAGAATTTCACCTCAGAACTGCTTCTTGAATGGCCTTTTTGGCCAGGCAGACTTTTAGGCAACCCACTCTGTTTTCCTAGGCTAACTCCTGACTTCTTAACAGTCCCAGGGGATTCTGTCAACAGCTAAAGCCCAAAGCAATCTGGTCAGACCCCATAGGTGACAATGCTTTGAGATTCCTCCCAACTTGGATTATTCTATTATTTTGTGTTTGGAGAAGTTTTTGAGCGTTTTGACTTTTTTTTTTCCCCCACTATATTTTTTTCCTCTCCAGTTCCCCACCACATGTGCTCCAGATCCTGAACAACCTCAAGACACAGATACACCCACCATCCACAGCCTCCAGTGCCTCCTGGAGCTTCTGGTCTGCTATGTGGGTTCCCATTTGGGCTCCAGTCTTCAGCTCTCCAATATCAACCTGTTTCCCTAGAATCAATGCAGAGATTCATTTCATTTTGGAAAATTTCATACAGTTCTGGGTGACAAATGCACCTTGGATTGACTTCTAGCTGCGCCAGGAGGATCTTTGCTCATTCTTGGATTTGTGGACAGCCAACAGTTTGCAAGTTGATGTATAAATACTCCTCAATGACAGCTCTTATTGCACTCAGGACCATTAATGCAAGATGACTTCCCAGCAGGACATAAATGTGCTGCTCCTTTGTAAGGTGCAAAGCTGGGCAGAAGGCTACAGAGCAAAGCTAAAGCTAAGACCTAACAGATTTCTCCACTTTCAGCGATGCCCGAGATGGCARTAGTTGGTTCTTACAGTTCTGCCATTACCACCACGAGCACAAAGCAGGAAGAAGACACTCCCAAATCACAAGTTGCCCCAGTTGTCCTGGGGTGAGAGCCAAGTTGTGTGAACTTGGAGGGCAACCAATTCCAGGAGCTCCATTTCAAAGCAGCCACTGAGCCAGTGCCAGCTGTAGGGTGTCCCCGGGCCCTTGGAAGGTGTTGTGCCCCAGAGCACAGTTGCAGATGTGCCAAGCGATCTTCCCAGGCAGGATCTCATCTACATGTGGGGCAGCAGAGCAAAGAAGTGTTGAGAAAACCATCCAGAGTAACTGGAGGACATCACAGCAGCTTGGCAGGACCTCAGGAAGGGACACCTGCTGACAACAGTTTAAGTGACAACCTCCAGCCGTACTGACCTGCTAACCATCTGGCTGAAGGTGGAGCTTTGCACAGTACTTCTCTGCTCTGTTTCTTCCCTCCCACCCTCCAGAATGGCCCAGACTTTGTCTAGATCCTCCCTTTTATTCCCAATAGTTTGAAGCTGTGTGTGAAAACCACCCGCAGGTGAGCAAGAGCTGCCTAGCCCAGTGCTGAGCCTACAAAGGCAGAACTGGAAAGCAATCAGTGTTTCCAACATGTTTCTTTGGGATCTGTGCTGGATCAGAGGCTGTACAGAAAGCCGGAGAGTGCCTGAGCGAGCGCGTACGGACACCACCATCTAGCGGTCCCCAACACCAATGACGTGGAGCATCCCAAACCCGCAGGCCCAGCGGGGTTGGAGGTATCGTGCTCTCAAATGGCCTCCCCTGGGGAACAGTGAGCAAGTTGTGGAGGCCTTCTCCATCCTACATACCTGAGTGTGGGGACACCGCACAGCAGGGTGGCACAGAGCAATGCTGCTACACCTCCTTGCCCCAAAATTAACTTGCTCTGAAGCAGTTTAGGGAGCACCTGAGGCTTTTCACCAAATTTGGAAACAACTAAACTAAGTGGAAGTTCTACCACTGCCTCCCTCCAGCCTTCTCTACTGCCAGAGGAGCTGCGTGGGAGGAAGACTGAGGGCTTGTGGCTTCTCTGGTTGTGCAGCTGACTGGTTTCAGGTGTCCGCTTTGGGGACAACAGCTTCGGGGAGCTTGATGGTCAGTGCTGAGGCAGCACTGTTGGTCTTAATTAGTACTTTGCAGTGCTACAGAG